TCCACGCTATTTACAGTGCATGTGATGCATGTTAAATCCAATTAGCTTAGCTTAACTAGAGTGTTTTTGAGCCACTTAAGTAGGACTTAAATGTAACTTTATGTAATTTCATATAAACTTCTGTCTTTTAAATAAGTGTACTATCAATACTGTCAAGTGTTTATGATTAACTAAAATATACATTATTGAACTTGCATTTCATGTATTTAAATATATTTGTAATTACACATTTGCAATGAGAAAGTTGCAATTATACTTTAATGTAATTTCCAGCAGTTAAAAATATAACAAAGGACTTTACAAGTGGTTTAGTATGTTAAAAATGTAGCTACTTTAAAGGGATACTCCACTTTTTTTTGGAAATAGGCTCATTTTACAACTCCCCCAGAGTTAAACAGTTGAGTTTTACCATTTTCGAATCCATTCAGCCAATTTTCAGATATTTAGAAAAATATCAGTAGCCAGACAGTTTCTGGTCTCATTGACTTTCATAGTATATTTTTTCCTACTATGGAAGTCAATGAGACCAGAAACTGTCTGGTTACTGAAATTTTTCAAAATATCAGAAAAACGGCTTAACGGATCCGAAAATGGTAAAACTCAACTGTTTAACTCTGGGGGAGTCTATTTCATTTTACTGGGGGAGTATTTCCAAAAAAAGTGGAGTATCCCTTTAAAGCACAACTAAAGATTATTACAACTAAAGCTTATTAAAACAATGGTTTAAAATGTGCTTTAGAGTAAAATGTTTAATTTATTATTACAAATTGCTCTTTTTGAAAGTGTACTGACCATAGTCATAATAGTCCACACACTTTTTAAGTACATTTAAGTGGCCTTTTATTTCATCAGTATTATATTACAGTCTTAATATGCAAGTACGTTTTTTTTTTTTACATTTACAGAACTAAGCTTATGATTATTGGCACACTGTGTGATCCAACTGATCCACACTCCAGCTTTTTGAACTGCCCACTTAGACAAGATGAGACTGACTGACCAAAATGTAAAGCAACCAACCATAGTTGGTAATTTTGTTTTTATGTGCCATTTAGGGGTGGATTCATTTGAAATCTGTTAAACAATAATAAAGAATGGAGAGTGGGAGGGAAACACTCAAATAATAGTATAGCCCAGTAGTCTCGGTAAACAGTTTGGCAAAAATGGAAAATGGCTAAAAATGTGTTAAGACCTTTTGTATCCATGCAAGTGAAATCATACAAACTGACTTCCAGTGGTGAGTAGAGGCCAGCCAATCATATCAGAACTGCTGAAATTCGTTCTGCACTTGCAGTACTAGTCTGCAATATGCACCAGACAGTACGTGAACAGATTGTGGGTGGAACATGGGGCATTCTGTCTGAGCGGAGACTAGGGTTTCCGCAAACTGACTGCTTTGGCTTTTCATTTCATTTAAGTAGAGACAGATTAAAACGTAAGAGTATGGACAACTGTAGGGCACACGTGTAAGCATGTGTTCATGCATTTTTGGGCCACTCTTTTCATATCTCTTCCATCACTCTCTCTGGGAATGGAAAAATGCCTCAGACCCTCAAGAAAAGCTGTTTTATATCTTTGGCTGGGAGGTATGATTGTAGATGTGTTTAGTTTTGTTCCAAAGCAATTAATGCTTTTTATCCCCAAGTATGACTTACATTAATTCTTTGTTTTATCTGTTGCTATTCAATTTAGCTCTAGGATTTTACATTTGGATGGATGAATTGTTTGCTGCTTTCTCGTGTTCTGTTTTGCTGTGTCATATGACTAAGCATTACTGGAAAATCTTTTGGTAGACTGGTTGATAAGGAACACAAATTAAATCCTTTAAAGAAACGTGCCTCAAGGTTCCGTACTAGGACCATTTGAATTCTTCTTTATCATGATAATTTTAGGTCAAGATGTAAAGTTACATGTTACTAAAATGTGAAAATTAGAGCTGCTCAAAGCAAATGCATTTCTGATGCATTCAAAACATTGTTTTGTGGAGGGTTTATTTGATGGTTAAAATGCATCATTCATGAGTCATTCTTTAAAATGAAAAAGAATTTTTTTTTTTTAGTTAACAGCAGTACATTAAAGTGATTAAAGCCAATATTGTTGTTATTTGTGGGCCATTTGAGATTTTTAGTGCATTATTTGGCCTGAATAGTTTGTTTGTTTGTTTTATTTATATAGCACTGTTAAAACACAACCCAGGTTGAACCAAAAAGTGCTTTACATACAGATTCCCATGAAGGATAAAAATAACGACATACCTCAACCAGTCAATACATCACATATAAAATATCACATCTACTCATTATAGGCTAAGGACATCAGATGTGATTTACACAAATGCTTAAAAATCGATTAGTTCATCGATTAGTTCAATAATGGATTGCAAATACTGCAATATCAATCTATGATTTTTATCTAAATTTAATGGGATCTTTAACTTGGGTGAAACTGGTTAATCTCACAAACTCTTAGTAAAATATCCCAGTCATGTATAATAATGACCGAAATTAGTGAAATAATTTTACAGAAACACTGTATTTTTTCTTTGTTTTTCCTGGGGTTGATTACAGAGAGCGTTCGGAAATCTCAGATTGTGACTAGGAAACAATGAGGCTTTGAGAGTGTAATTACGTCTATGTACCTATACTGTATGTCATGTCATGCATAATTTAGTAAAGCTATGAATTCAATTGTGACCTGCTTGGAACCAGAGCCTTTTATTACAGCAGGTCTCACAACTTTCAGTGTAGTTGCTTTGATTGTTTGTGTTGTGTGTACACGTTTATATGAGAGAGACGTATTTATTACATTAATATGAAGGATTGCTTCTGAAGCACACAGAATGTGTGACATAAACTTCCTTGTAAATGAAGCATACAATATGCTTTCTTATGTGTATTGGTGCCATCACTAATGAATAGTCTCTGACCTCCTTTTTCCCCCAGTCCTGGGTTGATGAATGTAGGCCAGTTCAACCAGCACAACAGTTATTCCCAGTTACGTCTCAGCACCAGCTGGCAGAGTTTACTACTCTACTCTGCTGACATGCAGCGAGACTAGCATCTACTTTCCTAGACTTGAAATGTTTTTTGTTGATAGGCAGACATTTAGCTGTGGTAGACAAATATTAGGACATTTTAAGAGTAACATGCCAACTCATATTCCTGACCTCATAAAGGTTCCAAAATATACCCTTTTCTATTTTCAAACTTCACATTATATGATTTATATGTATGTGTGTTTGTGTGTGTGTGTGTGTGGGGGGGGGGGGGGGGGATGTATATATGTAGTTATAAATAATTAATGTATATTAAATATAAATAGATATAATTAAATTAAAGGGGCTTTTTAAATTTTATTATATTATTGTCTGAGGTGAACTTATGACGTTCGCTTGGTTTTTGCATTCAAAAACATCAGAATGAATAAGTAATAGACTATTTTGTACCCATGTTTTGAGCCTACCTAAAAACGCTCTGTTTTAATGGGCGTCTCGCACTGAAAACTATAAAATAAAGTTTAAAATAAAAATAAAGTTTAACCCTGTATTCTTATTGGAATCCAGAGGAAGCTTATGCAGCGACTGTCTTCCACAACCAGGCACTGCACAATATTTTGTATTGCTCTGTAGCTCGATCCGGTTAGTCATCACAAGGTAGGAATCTATGGCTACGGTCACACTGCAGGGCTTAATGCTCAATTCCGATTTTTTGAAAAAATTATTTTTTTTGCAAGGCCGTTCACATTTCCAATTAAATGCGACCTTTTGTGATCTCCTGTGTGAACGTGAAATGACCCAGAAGTGACCCACATGCGCAGAAGAGTAATCAACGGTCAACGACGTCATTGCCACAGCCCATATACAAACACAGACAATAATTATTTTATCGACGGGCAAAGTTTGCACATAAATGTAAGATTTTTCCGATCCTCACCGACCTCGTCATAAAACCCGTTTAATTGATAGTGCGTGTCCTCGGCGCTCCTTGCTTTTTGTCACCGGCGGCTGCGGTGCGACACTGGTGGCTGGTGTTGCCAGATTGGGTATTTTTTCGCTACATTTTAAGGCATGTATGTGTTTTAGCCAGGTTTTCGCCTGGAAGGCTCTATAGAAATCTGGCACCCTACTGTACGAAGTTATACTGACAGAGAGCGCACGTTCACAGACACCAGAATGAACGTGTTCACAGTAATGTTCATCAGGCAGTAATACAGTATGTTTATGCACTATCGTTCATTGAACGCGTTCAGGCACAACACTGGGGAAGAGACACCTCTGCAGTGGCCCATAACAGTGAGGAAACGCGTTGGATTTAGCGTGTATTGGCTGGCTACAGGTGCGTGCAATAACGTGTGGGTCGGATATATGTGACCTGGCCGTTCAGATTGAAGTCGCATTTCAAAAGATCGGATACATATCGGATTTTGACCACATACCCAAGTGGCCTGGGTCGCATTTGAAAAGATCGGATCTGTGTCGTTCAGACTGTCATAAAAAAATCAGATACAGGTCGCATAGGGGCAAAAAAATCGGAATTAGGTCGTTTCAGCCTGCAGTGTGAACGTAGCCTATGTTATTTAGCTATGCGTGTAATGCGCGAATCGGTGGGCGGGGCTAAACCTGCCATGTTAAAGTAGTAGTTGATCTTCTTCTGCGGGGGTGGTGTTTTATCCTCTTTGACGTCATACTGTACTTTGAAAAAACGAGTCGTTTGCTGAGGCTGGTGTCAATAAAAGCTTTTATTGGACTAACAAGGACGTTTTCAGTTCTGAAACTTACAGGATATTCTTATAATATGATGATCTCTTAGATGTCAAAAGCTCAAGGAAAATTTGATTTCTCAGTTCATCACCCCTTTAACCTTTCTAATCTAATAGGATACCCTGACTGATCAATATTCCATATATGTAAAAAAATATATATATTTTTTTGTCTTTTTCTGTTGAGTGTTGTGTCAATGTTGCCGCTATGTACAACTGAATCTCCTTTGCTCTCTTCTCAGGTTGGCGGCACTAAAACTGGAGTAGTGCGTTATGTTGGGGAGACTGACTTTGCCAAGGGCGAGTGGTGTGGAGTGGAGCTGGACGAGCCGTTAGGGAAAAACGATGGAGCTGTAGCAGGAACCAGGTACATCATTTGTCTTCCGCTAACATGTCCTGTCTTTAGCAGCACCCTCAATGGCCTTCCAACACTAATAGGTCTCTTTATTTCATGCCTTTTTAAAATAGGTTTGTCGACTGTTTAGTATGTTAATACATCTCGGTTGTAGTGCGACCTATAACATGAAATCAAAAAGGACCTGATTTATTTTCTTAATACATCCCGGTATTATTCAGAAATTTATATATATATACACATTATTCCTAAGAATTTTTTTTTTTTTACTTTTTTTTTTTTGTCTTTAGAATCTTTTGTGCTGTCAATCCATTAAAAAAATCCTAACATTTAAAGTTTTTAATATATTTTTATATTGTAATAAATTCACAGTTAATCTCCAAATTAATGTAGAAACAACATAAACGCATAACTTTTTAGGTCTGGTTCTCAAGGGAGCACCTGGAGATGCTGCTTGGCACTTGCACTACAGTGGCACACTTATCCTACAAGCTGCCTAAATGGAAAATAACACTGTTTGGTCCCTGTAGAAATTAAAAATTGGTTCATTTTTGTTTTTTTAATCAACTTTGACACATACAACAGCAGGAATATTAGTCTGCTGTCACTTTAAGACCGAATGCACGGCCCGAATATACTGACACACATCCGTTGCACCCCTAATAAAGAAGAATCAATTCGGTGTTCAAGCGCTGTCTGAAACGTGCCTCTCTCTCTTTCTCTCTCTCTCTCTCTCTTTCTCTCTCTCTCTCTCTCTCTCTCTCTCTCTCTCTCTCTCTCTCTCTGTGCATGCACTGCTGGTGTTGAGGCAGAAACAGTGCTCCAGTCCTGATTTACGACGCCTCTTCCGGTTTTAAATCGTTTGAATGTATAAATTGGCAAGACAAAACACGTCCAAATCATAAACTTTCACTTTATGATGGTTAAACTTAGCAGTTAATCAGTGAATTACATGCTTGCCGAACCGTGGGGCGAGGTCCATATAGATCCCGGATCAAGTGCGATCCGTTGTGTTGGGTGAACAGTGAAAGACCCAGAACCAGATATGAAGAGTGAAGACCCGGAGTCAGAATTATAAAAAAATTAAAGAAAAGTTAACTTAACATAGTCGGCAGTTTCATCAGCAGAAGTCAGCTTCAAGACTCACACAGGAGTTGGTAGGCCGCCCCATACAGTTTCAAAGATCACAACAGTTATACCATTTACGTCATTGCTTACACGTTGAATGATTCTCATTGGCTAAGAGATAGATAAACACAGTAATTTTCCACACAAATACAGATAGATGGAAGCATATCTCCATCGATTATGCATCTGACACTCAGAGGCACATCATGACCTTCCAGGTCACAGATTTGGGTTGCTGGGTGCCAGTTTGTCCAGAACAACAACTCAGTCAATCTCCAATAAAGGGAGTGGTTCCTTAACCTGCAACTGGAGTAAGACTTTAGCAAAGAAATGGTGCCTTAAACTATTGGCTTCAATGACTCGTGTGTGTTTTAACACTCAAACACAAACCCAATCCCTTTTTCCCTATTATTTTCACTGTTACGGCATAAATAAGAGCTCCCATCAAGGCTAAAGAGAGTCTGAGCTGCTTATTATCAGTTAAGTGTACCAAAACATAATGGTAAAACATTCACTCGTTTGGGAGAAAAATGTATAACATTTGCTCCCCAGAAAGGAAATATACTAGAAAGAATACATTTTAATACAACAATTAAAGCATAATTTATAATTTGCTAATTTATAATTTATAGTCCGCTCAGCTTGTAGAACCCTTCAGGTTCAAAAATGCATTTTTTTTCATGAAACACAAAGGTAGGCATAGTTATTATTTTTTTTAATTACACAGAAAACAATTAATCAAACAGGCTTCTTAGTCTTGAAACGCTGTACTCTCCTCCTGCCGGTTGTCTGCTGTGTAAAACTCCCGCAGGGTCTCATTCAGAGCAGCAGCGGTGTCATTTTCTTTGCGACGTTTCTCCGTTTTATTTACATTTTTTCTTTCTTCAGCAGCATCCCAGTCGTCAAAGTTGTCATATTCTCCATAAATGTTAAAAGAAATAACGAAGTCCCTCATTGTTGTATTAGTAGGCTATGTATCTAACTAACGTTAGATGTTTGTTTTGATAGAGCAAATTGTTAACGGATACTTTGACTGCCTGTTGCTATGGTTACTCACAGCTGTTGTAGACAGCGCATTTATTTATTAATTTCGAATGGTAAACAGGCAGTTTCACCAGAACTACTTTACTAGGTGTCCTCTATCACTTTTTAACGGACACCCTGCAGCCAATCAGAATCGAGTATTCACCCAGACCATGGTATAATAGCAGTTGAATGAATGATAGTGTGATCTAGCGCACCCAATGGATGATGGGAATAAACGGATGCTGTGATGATCGCGCTAAATGTTTTTAACGCGTTAAACTGAAAAAATTTATTGCATTCCTTAACGTGTGTTCATTTTGATTGCCCAAACATCTTTCAGCATCTAGTTATTTGCTCTGCATTCTGTTCACAATCCAAACAATTCCTGATGGACAAACTCCCATCTTAAATAGTTTATTAGGGAAATAATTACTGAAGAAAAATGGGTTGCAAGTGCAGTTTCATGTAGACTTTTTGTATTAAAATACAGGCCAGGTGACCTGCACATGTAATGATTCACATGCTGAGCCGAGGTTAAACCTCATCTGTCTTTTCACTAAAGAACGGGGATGGTTGAGTGCCAAACAGGAATAAACTGCTTCATGGATACTCTTTAATTGTTGACATTTGGCCCAAGGCTGGATTTAGTAGATTATATAGTTTGTTTTTATAATGGCTTGACTGGCTGGACATCTGCCTGTTCAGTTTAGATGATAAAAAACATTTTCTAAGAGACAGCATTAATTTATGATGAAAGCCGTGTTGCAGGTCTGTGTTTTATTGGTTGTTGTTTCCCCTTTTTCCCACCTTCTACTCTTCCACTTTTCCACAGCTTTACACGTCCATTTCTTGAGACTTTTTCAACTCGGAGGTGTGAACGACCAAGCTAAAGCATGACACTTTAATGTTCTAATGTTCTATATGTTACCTTTGAATATACTGCATTTCCTCCCTCACATCCGTATTCTCTCCGTCTCTCCTTAGATATTTTCAGTGCCCACCCAAGTTTGGCCTCTTTGCTCCAATCCACAAGGTGATCCGGATTGGCTTCCCATCCACCAGTCCGGCTAAAGCTAAGAAGAGCAAGCGTATGGCCATGGGTGTGTCGTCTCTGGCTCACAGCCCCTCCAGCTCCTCCATCAGCTCTGTCAGCTCTGTGGCCTCCAGCGTGGGGGGGCGACCCAGCCGCACTGGCCTGGTAAGACACTTTAAAACGTCATGAAGAAAGTGCCAGTGCAAATCACAAATGTCTTGACATTTTGCAGCGTTGCTTCCTGATGCCACTGTCATAATGTCACAATCACTTTATTTTTGTCCTGGGGTAATATTATGCATTTTTTTCCTTTGATAAGAACCTCTGGTGCTCTTCGCGTGTCGTTCAAAAATGACTGAAATAATTATTTTTATTTTTAATTCATTGAAATTCATTATTTATGTTTTTTATTTAATATTTTGTATTTTTAGGGGATTTTTATGGTACTAAATTATATTTACGCTGTATTTATAATCCATTTATTCACTTTTTGAGCATAGACCTGAAAGTTAAATTTAACTCGATCAAATTAAAAATGGGCTATGTGATTTTCTTTTTTGACCATTTTTTTTCAAAATCACTTAATTCTATTCCTAACCCACTTACAGCCAGTGAGTTAGGAGCACTGAAATGAAAATTAAGCAATTGAATCGTCTGTGGAACAGGCAGTACTCAAAACTCCAGCCAATCATTTCCAAGACCACCTAGAATCATTGGACAGAAAATGTGTCAATCAAACGGTCGTACCATACCCCGATCCCGCGAGTGTCCCCCTTGCACTTACCGTAGTCACGGTAAGTGCAAGTCGCCCTGGTACAGAGAGAGAGAGAGAGAGGGTAGTGCATGATTGCGCGTCCATGTTCTTCGAATGGGTGGAGTCAGGGCCAGCGTTGGATGAAAGAAGGTTGGACCTTTTGAGTTGTGTATATTTTCAAAATCTTAAGTAAATCTTGAATGCTTTAGGCCTTTTATTCAATTATATTATTTGTCTATCCGATTGGAATCTGATCTAAAATTATTCATGTCCACACTGTGGAGAAAAATATTTATAGTACAAAGTATTGTACTTTAATGCAAATTATTTATTTATTTAGTCTCTCTCTCACACACACACACACACACATACACACAAAAATATTAAAATAATCAATAATTGCTTTAGCATCGAATCACAGCCCTCTGAATCGGAATCGAATCGTGAGGTGCCTAGAGATTCCTACCCCTAGCTATGATGTTGCGTTGATAAGCAATAGGCATCAAACAACAAAAACAACAACTGTAACATGGAGGGGTTTGCAATTGAAATGTTGTCTTTTATCTTATCGAAAATCATTGAATATCCGATTCCGGTGATACCGTCTGTATTATTGCTGAATGATGACTCTGAGTTTGACTTCTCTAAGCTGCAAAAAATTGTCTACCTGGCCGGTTTAACGTCTGCAAAAAAACTCTTAGCTCAACACTGGCTCCCACCACATACCTTGGATATATTCAAGTGGTTGTTTCAACTTCAGGACATTATAATGTTAGAAATATCCACAGCTCGGGTGAACTTGGCTCAAATCTCAACACTAAAAATTTGGACAACAGCTGCTGATAAGGTCTCCAAGTATATTGCGCAAAGCAATGTTCAGGACTCAGTTTGAACACTTTAACACTTTATCCCATTTCTCTATTTTTTATTTTTATTTATTATTATTTTTTATTTTTAATGTTTTATCATTCCTGTGACTGTTTTTCTGTTGACTTATCTGTCCATTTTGTACCCCATTATAAAGAGACCGCGGGGTTGGTGGGTGGGATTGGTAGATAGGTTGTTGTTTGTTCTGTTTCTTTTTGGCGTGTTTATTGTCAAAATTTAAAATCTAATAAAAAAAAAAAGAAATGTTGTCTTTATTTAAATTTTATGATGCCGGCGCACTGAACTACTGCGTTTTGTTTTACTCTAAAACTGTGAGAAAATCAAAGCCATAAAGAAGTTGTTCAAAATTTGAGCCTGGTATCTCAAAAAATAAGCTTTCAGTAAGATTTAGTTTGGCCGCAGTACCAAAAATTTTCACTAGATGAAAATCGTGACCGTGTGACTATTTTCCTCAACCTGTTCAAATCATGTCCATGATTTTTTTTTTTTTTTTTTTACCGTTATCAAGTTTCGTAGCATTCCAATGAAGAAAAAAATAAACAAATTTGAACAAAACGTTTTGCCTTTTTGTCGCACAGTTGACCGAGACGTCGTCGAGGTACGCACGGAAGATCTCTGGGACCACGGCTCTGCAGGAGGCCCTGAAGGAGAAACAGCAGCACATAGAGCAGCTCCTGGCCGAGAGAGACCTGGAGCGGGCCGAGGTCGCCAAGGCAACCAGCCGTATCTGCGAGGTGGAAAAAGAGCTGGCGGCGCTGAAGGCCGGACATCTGCAGGTGTGACTCACACATATAAACACGACACTTACACGAGCATTTCATTTACTACACTTACTCGCAGATGCAAACTTATACACTCCATTTAACAGCACATTCATATGAATTTCTGACGAACAAATTACCTTTTCTCTTATCTCATTCAGTATGCAACGGAGGCAGAGAGCAACCTACAGCAAGTCCGAGCTGTGCTGGCAGGCACTCAGAAAGACAAAATGGAATTGGCCAATCAGCTTGAAGAAGAGAGAAGGTAGAGGTTTTTTTTTTAAAGGGTACCTATTATGGCATTTAAAATGTTCCTAATATTGTTCTGGGAGTCCCCAACAACAGTTTTACAAGCATGCAATGACAAAAAACACTTTTGTTGTCTTATAATATGCATTTATTTTTACCTGATTTGCTCACCGACTCCCATATGAATTGTTTAGCGAGTCCTTTTTCCAAAACCCGCCTTTGCGTGACGCTAATCTGCGGTGATTGGTCAGATGACCTAGTCAGTTGTGATTGGTATTCTCTGTGCAGAGATTGTCGAAAACGGAACGCCTATCACCTTAAATGGGTTCTCAACTCCAGTCCTCGCGACCCACTGCTCTGCATATTGTGTATGTCTCCCTTATTTAACACACCCGATTCAGATCCTCAGCTCGTTAGAGCCGGCTCGCGAATCCATACTTTATAGCGTTTAGGTTTGTGAAGCAATCATCTTCAAAATGACGAACACAGAACACGGTTTGGGCTATACTTGTGTGGTATACTTGTATATATGAACTGCAGGCAGCCACTTAAGGCCATTGCACACCGAGTCCGAAATTCGCATCCGAAATTTTCGCACGTAAAAAAAAAAATTCGACCTCACGTTATGTCAGTCACGCTTGCACACCGCCTCCGAAACTTTCGTCCGTCATAAAATTAATCGGATCGGGTTCGATTTTCTGCGTTTTTCGCATCCAGAGCCAGCATTTTGAGAGGTCTTTTGACAATTCAGGGCCGGGGGAGCTCGTCCTCATGCACATATGCGCCGTGCTTTCAGTTTCGGTTTTCAATTCGATCAAGTGTTTATGTTCTCTTCTCTATATTGGATTATGAAATTAATAAACCTCCCCTTTCAATCAGATTGAAATTTAGGATCGAATAAGGTGTGATTGAGCAGCCTATTCGATAACTAATGTATTATTTGGGCACAATACACAATAACAGCCTAGCTGTTCTGTCTGCCCAGCGCTTCCAACGGGCCGCGCGCGGGTGTGTGTTTGTCCGTGTGTGTGTGTCCATACCTGGTCCATTTCAGACACACTGCCAGTCTCCGTTCAGAATCGATTGGTTCACGGAAATTGGTGGTCTTGTTTTTAATATGTGGCTCCAGAATCGCTAGCAAAGCATCGAACTGTCCCACTGACATTCTGAGGTAAATTTTGAATCGCTCAGGATAAATTCGCAACTCCTTTATAAGGAACTCTCCTTCCTCTCGGCGCAATTTCAGGATTGGATGGACGTAATATTTTCTCTTTCTTCCCTTTTCAATAAGAGAGAGGGCAAAAATCATCCTCACTGCTTGACGAATCCATTTGGTATTTTTGCGTTTTTTCCCGCAAAGGTTTAAGAAATACGCAACGGACTCGGTGTGCAAGGTTTCTATGCGTGACGAATTTTTAAGCTGACGAACACGAAAATACGCATACGAATATTTCGTGCTCGGTGTGCAATGGCCTTTAGTCTTCAAATGCTCCTCACTTGGCAGGTGAAAAAAGTTCGCTTTTGCGTCGCACTTCAAAACACAGCGTCTCGTCGACATGGTTGTTTTCCGGTTTTCCCTGGCGTCTCCGAGCGCAATAAGTGGGCGTTTCTTATTCAAATAACTTGTCAAGTTGACGTCAACTAGACAAAGGAAAAGCATCATTCTTCGAACGATTCATATCAGCGACTCAGAGTCGACTCTTACTTTTGAGAGACAATAACTTTGTGTACGATGAACTTTCATGTTTAAAACTTTGCGGGATGTTTTCGCTCACTTAGATCTATGTTAAACACTACATGAAGGGCAATTTTCAAAAAGCCATAATAGGTACCCTTTAAACCTCACATCATATTGTAGTATCCTGACATTTGCTGTTGTTATCAACTTAGTGTAATTGAGTCATTGTTCTTCACTTAAAGGGGGGGTGAAATGCTATTTCATGCATAGTGAGTTGGATTCCCATGCTAAACATGGACAAAGTTTCAAAAATTAAGTAATATGTTTCATTGAGTATTTCTGTTCTCAAAATACTCCTTCCTGGTTGTCACAAGTTTCGGAAAGTTTTTTTTCGAGTATGGGCGCGTTTGACGTCGGATGCGGCGGAATTTCCTTATATGGTCCTAAGGGCACTTCTCTCGGAAGGGCACGCGCAGCTGATGAGCGATAGCCGTAACCTATGACCATCAAAGCGCTGTGCATCGGCTGCGCTGTAATATGTCACCAAAGAAGTGGGTTTTTGGTTGCCAAGGCAAGAAAACACTGCACAGATTCCCAAAGAATCAAGCGTTAATGGACCAGTGGATGGAGTTTGTTTTTCCAGAACATCAACACAGTTGTGCAAGTGTTCTTGTTTGTTCCATGCATTTCGAGGATGATTTTTTTTTTATAAACAAGGCCCAATTCGAAGCCGGATTTGCTAATTGTTTAGTTCTCAAGGATGGAGCAGTCCCAACACTAAAGGTTAACGGTCTTGCGTTGTAACCGCTGGAGCATGCGATGTATGGTGTGTGTTTGTTTAAATCATAGACTGTAAAAAAAGATGGACGACGCCCCTTCGCTCTTTTCCATCGGAGAGAACTGAAGCCGCCAGTGTCTTGATATGACGCTGACATCTTGGAACTTGAGTCTGCGCACTTGCTTGTTTCGGGACCAGACATGCGCAGTCGTGAGCAGGAAGTAAAGCCGCGAAATCAAGGCCGCGCCCTCATTCTCGCTGAATCAAACGCCCCGCACTTTCATTAAGTGGCCTCTGTCTGCTTCGTTCTTCTCCAATGATGTCTGCTGATTGCAGAACCTCGTTAAAATAAGGTAAATACAACTACTAACCACAATCAACATTATTAAAAAAAGTCCGCTGGTGCTTCAGTGACTACCTCGCACAGAGAACCTGTCAATCATGATGGCAGAACACCGTTTTTATCATCACATAACTAACTAAAAACAAATTTATTTTAAAAACGAACACTTGAAATTACATCAACATGATAGAAACTACAGTAAATGACAGAAACTATCTGCGGAAAAAGGATATGTGAAGTGTAATTGAATTGTTTATTTGGTCTCGCGTCCCATTGAATAACATGAGGAGGCGGGGGTTATGAGCTACACTAGGACTGGTCACAGGGGGGCGATCGAGACGTTTTGGCTTCGGTTTTGAGGGCTTGTGTGGCACGCTTGGTTTAAATACATTTGTTTAGGTGGCTACTGTAGGCGTCTGTTTGTTTATTGTAAAACCAAATCATGTCTTCATAAACTACGAGTAGACGCACACAAATGTTCTAAAACTCGAGCATGACATGGCGTTCTGAAAACACCACCCACACGGCACGCCTCCACCCGCTCGGCATTTTCCGGAAAGACTCGGTACAGCCTATCTTTCTTTTATAAATGTAATAAAACTTAAGACTTTTTGGAGATATGATGGATGCTTTATTACTCTATTGGTAGTCAAGTTTAACATGAGATTGAATGAAACTGAGTGTTTCACCCCCCCTTTAAAGGTGAACAAAGTATTTTTTTTTTTTTTAAAACCCAAAAAACTGAAGAGCAGATGAGAGTGGGGTAAGCTGGGACACTTTTTTCTTAAGATGTCCTCTAGACAAAGATAAATAACAGCAGTTTCATTATGTCTGTTTCCCTCTGATATTTAAAGAAAACGTCTGTATCAGTGGTTCTAAATCAGGGGCCTTGGCAAACATCCAAGGGGACCACTGGGTGACTTCAAATTATTCATGTGAAATATATTATTATATGCAATTAATTCTAATGTTATTATTAATACAATGAAATGGTCTTAATTTATTCATTAAACTTTAATTAATCTTAAAATGTTAAAAAATACATTGCATACACAACTGTTGGTTCTGACTGCATTCCAATTTATGTATTTATAAAACAATTATTAAGCAAATATTAAAAACAAGCAGCTTTGTCGTAATTGTAACAGAAGTATTGGCAAAAATATCTTACCTTGTATTGAGAGGCCTTTAAAAAAAATGTGTTGGGCCTTCAATGCTTTCAAGTCAAAAAGGTTGATCATAGAGTTCTCCAAAAATATTGTAAAGACAGTGTCATCCAGTGAGGAGCTGATTCAGAAGTAATATACATACTATGTTTCAAATAGAAATAAAGTAGGGATTTTTTTTCCCTAATGGACAATAACAAAAACGTTACTTTTTTTTTAATTATGAATATAAACTGCAAGGAAAAGGTGTAATATTCAGAGGGATTATTTATTTGGCTAATCATTATCCATGAATTTGTACATGGTTTTATACATTGGTAATACAGTTTGGTGGAAAGTTTAATTTGACATGAAACAAAATGTTTATTACTGTTCTTATGTTCTCTTAATTACAACCTGCAGTATATGATGAGATATATAATTGTGCTCTTTGCTAGATAACCAGGGCGACACAGCTTACTAATACACTGATACATCACAGCCTACTGTTCACAAAAAAATAAACACTTTTGTTTTTGTGTGATGGTGCATGCACACCAATAGGTGTCAGCCTAAAGTCCAATACTTCTTTATCTGCCAGCAAAACAAACAAAAAAGTGAATAATGTCCTGACACCTGGTGGTTATTATGTGTTATGACAGGAAAGTGGAAGATCTTCAGTTCAGAGTCGAGGAAGAGTCCATTACCAAAGGAGACCTGGAGGTATCTTCCATTTTTACTACTACTTTACTGGAAGATGGTGTGTTATTTGTTTGTTTTTTTTGTTAAATTGGAGGATTTCTTAGATAATTGATTCGTAGAAAAGAAAAATGATGCTATTACTGAGTTATATAATTGCTAAAACATTTATAATGTCTTTCCAAATATTTTCAGTCCTCAATAATCTTGCGTTTTGAATATCAGACATGATCTATGACCTGGTGACTGTACGAAATGCTGAACACACTACTTTTCATTTGTAAAAAAATTAAATATTGTGTCCAATCTGACTAACATCAAAATATTTACATTTAAACATTTAACATAAACATTTAAATATCATTTTAAACGCATGTCCTTCCATCCAGCCCTATACTGTCATGCTGAATTAAAAAACACTCTTTCCTGGCTTTAAACCTCTTCACACTTTGGTATTATGATTGGTGCATAGCAAAGACCTGTTAATCTTTTTCTCTGCTACCTATGTGTGTCTTTTTTCTCTCTTTCTCTCGTGTCTTTTTATTTCCCCCCTTTTTTTTCTCTCTTTAGACTCAGACCAAACTGGAGCATGCCCGTATTCGGCAGCTCGAGCAGTGTCTGCATTTGGAAAAGTCCAAAGCAGAGCGGCTTCAGAAAGAGTTAGAGGAAAATATGGTAAACATGCAGGGAGAGGAAACACTGTAGCCATCTCTCCCATTGCCATGTTTCTGCCACTTTTTTTAAAGCTCATGTCTATGGGCCTCCACTGCTTGTGCTTGACTGACCAGGATCTCCATCATTCACAAAAAGCTGACTTGTTTGTTAGGGCTGTTGGAAGTTAATTTGTGCAACTGATTCGATATATTTTGTCTAAGCAACTGAATCAGAAAAGGTCCGATATTTCAATCTTTTGGTAGATTTGGATCAAATTTAATCTCACACATTGTTTTTGCATTTAGATTCTTGAATTAATTGGATTTTACTCCAGCTATGTTGGAGATGTTGGAGATCTTAGTCTGTCTCTTGTGGGGCAGCACTGCTCCTGACAGCCAGCCACTGCTTTCACCTTTGATTTGCAAACAATTTTTTCATGGCTATCCTTTTCTTGTTCTCTAAGCATCTGCCCGAGACCCTCTGGTGGAGTTGAGACGTTATCTTCTGATCTCCCTTCCCCACATCAGCCTTCATTTTTAATTTTTTTATATTGTGAAATATAGACTCCAGCCTGTGGGGTTGTTATAAAACTCCCCCTGACACATCAACGTTGTATTTATACCCCTTGTTTTTCTATAATTAATGCTAAGGCATCACTGTTATCATTGGTCATGCATTTTTTTCCTGTTCCTCTTATTAGTCCTTGTGCTGGAGACAGGAATGTCTTAGAAATGTGTGGTGCAACCACTATAGCAACACCCTGGTGACCACCCAGAACATCCTAGCAACGCCCTGGTGACTGCCCAAAACACCCTAGTTATGGACTAGTGACCACTCAGAATACTGTGGCACCTGACTAGCTACATCCAAGCAAGTGCAAAAAACACCATACAAAACACCCAGAACTTCCTAGCAATCCCCTAGTTACCACTCAAAACACCCTTGTAAGAACTTAGTGAACACCCAAAACACTTTAACAACTACCTACTGTAGATACATCCAACCAAGCACATAGAACACCATAAAAAACACCCAGAAACCCTCACAACTGCCTTGCAATGCCCTAGTGACCACTCAAAACACCCTTGTAAGAACCTAGTGAACACCTTAAAACACCTTAGCAACTACCTAGATACATCCAACCAAGCACATATAACACTATACAAAACACCCAGAAACACTCACAACTGCCTAGCAATCCCCTAGTGACCACTCAAAACACCCTCGTAAGAACCTAGTGAACACCTTAAAACACCTTAGCAACTACCTAGATACATCCAACCAGGCACATAGAACATCATACAAAACACCCAGAAACACTCACAACTGCCTAGCAATCCCCTAGTGACCACTCAAAACACCCTCGTAAGAACCTAGTGAACACCTTAAAACACCTTAGCAACTACCTAGATACATCCAACCAGGCACATAGAACACCATACAAAACACCCAGAAACCCTCACAACTGCCTAGCAATCCCCTAGTGACCACTCAAAACACCCTCGTAAGAACCTAGTGAACATCCAAAACACCTTAGCAACTACCTACTGTAGATACATCCAACCAAGCACATAAAACACCATACAAAACACCCAGAAACCCTCACAACTGCCTTGCAATGCCCTAGTGACCACTCAAAACACCCTTGTAAGAACCTAGTGAACACCTTAAAACACCTTTGCAACTACATAGCTACATCCAAGCAAGTGCAAAGAACACCATACAAAACACCCAGAAACACTCACAACTGCCTAGCAATGCCCTAGTGAACACTCAAAACACCCTTGTAAGAACCTAGTGAACATCCAAAACACCTTAGCAACTACCTAGATGCATCCAACCAGGCACATAAAACACTATACAAAACACCCAGAAACACTCACAACTGCCTAGCAATGCTCTATTGACCACCCAGAATTCCCAAGAAATGCCCTAGTGACCACTACCAACACCCTATCAGAACCCTAGTAACGCCCTAGTGACCACTACCAATACCCTAACAACACCATAGTGACCACCAAGAACTCCCTAGTAAGAACTTAGTGAACACCCAAAACACCTTAACAACTACATCCATTACTTGGCTACATCCAAGTGAGCATTCAGGACACAATAGAAAACACCCAGAACACCCTCACAACTGCGTAACGATGGCCTAGCTGCTACGAAGTAAAACACACCCTAGCTACCAACTAGCAATGCTCTTGTAAACGCCCAGAACACCCTCACAACACACTTGCTTCCAACCAGAGTTGCTAACAGCCACCAGGCAATGCCTAGCGACCACCCAGAAGATGCTAGCAACCTTGTAGCAATGCCGTGGTAACCACCCAGAATACCCTAGCAACTTCCTAGTAACAACCTAGTGATCACCTGAAATAACTAGAAATGTTCTAGCAACCACATATGCCCTAGCTACCAACAACAACATCATTAACACTCAAGTAAGCAGGGCTTAAAAAAATATTATTATTTCCTAAATAGTAGTGGCTCTACACTAACCTGCGCTGGATATAACCTGCCATTGATGACTTATCCTCGGAAAAACTCTGCGATCCCACAGCTAATGCCATTACGTTGCCTTGTGACTTACATGGGATGAATTTACAGCCATTCGCGGTCATTTCACTCACGTTGGATGCGTCAACGTCACATTTGCATAGAGGCCGTACTATTTGAATTCATGATTTGTTGAATGATGCCGAATTAAATTCTTGAACCGAACGATAAAATACCGTTATTAACCAGTCAGTCGTAATTTCAAATAAGTGTTTCTGTTCAGAATTTTTAAACTTGATTTAATTTTTTTGTATGTTCCTGTTAAAATGTAGTTGTTTTTGTTTTCGTTCCTTGAACCGATTCAGAGCGGTAAGTGACTAGCAATGCACTAGCAACTAGTTACCAATGCTTTAGCAAACACACAGAAACACAAATGCCCTAGTAACCACCAACACGTTCTCATCCCAAAGCGCCATATAGGACGCTTTTGCAAAAGCGCAAATATCCAACGCACATGGCACCCTTTAACGTCTAATGAGACGCTTCGGTTAATGGTTAAGTTTAGGTATGGTGTAGGGTAAGGGTTAGACCACTAGGGGGCGCCTTCTGCCCAAATATATCTGCGTCTCATTTCACGTTAAAGGGTGCCATGTGCGTTGGATATTTACGCTTTTGCAAAAGCGTCTTATATGGCGCTTTGGGATGAGAACGGGCTCTAACCACCATAAACACCCTAGCAAGGGCCTAGCAATGTGGTGGTAGTTTTGCGTGGACAAGCACCAGACACATTTACTTCAGTAAATGTAAAAGTGTAGTTTTGGCTGTCGTTGTGAATGATGGTGAGTGAATCCGGCACAGTCCAGGCACTCTAATCAAAAGGATTTCACATTTATCATTAACAGGTCAGAGGCAGGTTCCAGCCAGCACCCATGAGGCTGGGCAAGAGTGTCAAGGTGATATAAAGGGAGTAACATACTGTGTGGTTTTAGAGTGACCTTCTTCTTTAAAGATGAACATTATATTTAGATGCGTGCTCCTCTCACTTCTCACTTGTGGTTTGAGACTTCATGAACTCTTGTAGTTTTATCTGATCTCTGATAACCTCTTTCCTTGGAAATATCACATTTCCAGATGACTCCACAATGACTAACATTATATTTGGTGTGCTCTATGAAATGAAAAACATCTTGAAATATATATTTGAATCATAGTAGTAATTGCCTGTGTTCCTTTGGACTTGCTGTGTGCTGTGCCATTTCATATTTGCCTGGCTGCTTCTTGATGGACAGATTGAGGAACGCTTGCTTGGCCTTGAATTCAACAAGAATGCTGGTGTAGTTTCTTAGGTTGCACTATATCTGCTTTTTTGCACATGCGAGAGCCATTTTTCAAGAAATGGTCGTTCACTGAAATGTTTGCTGGCCAAGCAGAATGCTTTGTTTGCTTCTCATGCCTTCCAGTTGCAAATCTCTAGTTGGCAACTCTCTAAGAGATTTCATTCGGGATTATCAGCAACAATACAATTTTTATTTAGGAATGCACAATATATAAACATTGGCTTTTACAGATAGATAATATTAATAATTTTTTTGTTTTTAAATTTAATTGGAAAAAATACTTCCTTATTATCTGCTTCCAGTATAGAGGGTATGTGTGTGACGTCACCGTCGGTCTGAGTGCCTGCAGTTACCCACAGTGATTGGCAAAAAGACTGAGCGGCTGTATTTGTTTTCAGCGTGAATGCGGCGAAAAACAAACACAACACATATAAAGTGGGAAAGAGCTTTGCGATTGACTCTACAAACTAGATTTGACAAAAAATCGGTGGTATATATTAACTTTATTTACCCAAGTTATCTTAACAATAAGTTATTGAGTTACTTGGAATCAAAATCAAATATTTTCTTAAGCTTAAATTGTTTGAGTTAATACACTTAAATGATTTAAGGCAATCGGTTTCCTCAAACGGTTTGAGTTGAACTAACTCATCAGGTTTTTACAGTGTGCATGTCAATATCCATGGATCACTGGATCTTTAGTAAGTTGTAAGGAACAATACTGAGTCCAACATTTAGTTTAAATTGATAAAAAATGTTTGTTTTTGTCGCATTTTCGCAGTTTTCCCTATTAAATCCAGTCACGCAGCAGATCTTTTGCCACTCAGTCAGGCTGAGGGGGGTTATGCGGGGGGAAAGTGACATCAATGCATTCCCTCTATAATAATAATAATAATAATAACAATCATAATAATTATAATTATTAGTAGTATTATAATACACAGTTCTCAGTAGTCTGATATACTCTAAAAAATCTCATTACTGTAATGCAAAATTTGTAAAGTTCATTTGTAACTGTGCATCATGGAAATATATTGTATTTAAAGGGAAAAAATTGTTGTCTGGACTAAAATTACTTTCATTGCAATATTACAGATTGACTTTTTTACTTTAATAATGGAAACTTGTAATTGTCATTCAAATAATGTCAGAGTGCAAGTTTATAATGTTATTTTCATCACTATTTTGTCATTAAAATGATTTTTCCAAAAGGTTTGCTGCGTTTAGAATCACTAATTAAATCCTAAGACTAAGGTCAAAGGTCTTATTGAAAAATCACTAAATCCTTTGAGAGTTGCCACTCAGCAGAAGAACTGGAGGCTTTGGCATAATAACGGTTTATGACGCAAGATTTATGACCCTCTCTCTGTCCTCTAGCAAACTACAGTTGAGGAGAAGAGTCGCGTTATGCAGCTGGAAGAGGAACTGGCCCTGCGCAAGGCTGAGGTCGAGGAGCTCCAGGTTCGGCTTCAGAGAAGCTCCTCCGGCCCAGGAACAGATGCTGGAGACTGCGGGCTAGGCTTAAACTCGGAGACTCTGGTCTTGCGGGAACAGCTTCTCTCCGCAGGCCGCGAACGCCGCGAAGAGAGCAGCCAGTTGCGCGAGAGGTACGAGGCGTCCCTGAGCACCAGCCAGAAAGAAGTTGAACGCCTTAAAGCCACCACAGATCGTCAGGGCCAAGAGATCTCTGACCTGAAGCAAAGACTTCAGCAGGCCACTCGTGAAAACATGGAGATGATGGACAACTGGAAAGCCAAGCTTGACGCTTTGGTTGGAGACCATCAACGTGCTCTGGAGGAACTAAAATCCTCAGTAACGGGAGATCGTGGAGCCAGTGAAAACGGAGAGGGTGAAGGAACCACACCTGAGATGAGGGCCGCTCTGGAGAGCTTAAAAATGGAGCATCAACTGGAGCTAGAAAACTTGAAGGCCAAGCATGAGATTGATGCCGCCGTGATGGCCAAAGAGCGCGAAGACCTACGTGCCCGACTTCAGGATCTGCGGGACCAGCTAGAGGAGAGCGAGCAGAACTGGAAGATCCAGGTGGAAACCAAGAGCAACCAGCATACTCTGGAGCTCAAAGAGGTTTTAGAGAAGCTCCAAAAGGCTGAGTTTAGGATCAGCGAGATGGATAAGTCCCATGAAGAGCATAAAAATGCCACCCTACTTCTTAAAGAGCAGCTGGAGCTGGTTGAGAAGAAGATGGTCGATTATGAAGCCCTGCAGAAGGCTGAAGCTCAGAGCCGAGCAGAGATCCTCTCTCTGCAGGAGAAGCTGAGGGTCACTGAGAACCGACTGCAAGCTGTGGAGGCGGATCACAACACCCAGGATGTTAATGTCAGTGACCTCTGGGACAGTACACATTTTGTCATTTTTAATCATAAAAAAAGGGTAGAGTTGTAATTAATGCTATCTTGTAGATTAAATAAAAATCTAATCTTTGAAACCAGTCCGAAAGGATCCAAATGGAATTAATGAGCATGAAGATCCTACTGGATAAACTGAAATAAAACCTGAAAAAATAGTATGAAATTTCCATTAGGATCCAGTGGGATCTTATTTGATACTTGGGGGCCAGTTGTTTAAAACATTTAATCTGGATCAAAATGATCCGGATTTGGAAATTCCATTTTTTCCTATTCTGGATCAGGTAATCCGTCTTACTTTTATGCCGGTTTTTCAAAGCAACATTGGACTGGATCACCTTGATCCAGATACACAGTTTTCAAGATTACCAGTGCTCTAAATGGGACAACATATCACAATGTGGGCTACCAGCTATGTAAAGAACAGGTAGAAGAGCCAACATGGGGTCACTGTAAGTGTTTCTCACCTTGAAATCCTACCCCCTGTTGGGATCAGGATAATCCTGGGTTGTTTTTTTTTTGGATCAAAGTTATCCAAATACCACTGACAAGTTTTGAACAACACAAACTGAAGGTTTGATCCAGATTAAAACTAGGATTGGATTCCCTGCTCTAATCTGATTTCAGATTCCTTCTTTCCCTTTTGAACAACCCATTTTCAAGATTTGATCCAATCCGATAACCAAAATCCAATCAGCTTACCTTTGAACAACTGGCCCTAGATGATCCTTATGTGATCACATTGAAATCCTATCATATTAGTTCCAAATTATAGCACAGATTACAAAATGAATCCTGTTCAAACTTTGGAAATTGTTGACTGGGGTAAACTTAAATATGTTTTTTTTTCAATATTTTCTCACCATCCAGATGATCGAAAATAATGACAACTCTGAAGAGAAGATTAAACTGAAACAGAATATGGAAGGTACGTGTACAAATTATGACAAATGATGTTGTATCTTGTAACTAATGTACAAATAATGTACACTACTGTTCAAAGGTTTGGGGTTGGTAAGATTGATCCGATGGTCAGTTTGATTGCCAAGATTCTTACAAGGCTGCATTTTTTTTTAGCAAAAACGCTGTAAAAACAGTAATATGAAATATCACAATTTAAAATAACTGTTAATATATATTTTTTTATTTGAATGTCACATGATCTATCAGAAATCATTCATCAATTTGCTGATTTGGTGCTTAAGATACATTTTTTATTGTTATCAATGTTATGCTGCTTAAAGGGGTCATGAACTGGCTTTTTACATTTTTTTTATATTGTTGTCTGAGGTCAACTTATGACGTTCGCTTGGTTTTTACATTCAAAAACATCAAAATGAATAAGTAATAGGCTATTTTCTACCCTAATTTTGAGCCCAGCTGAAAAACGCTCGGTTTTTATGGGCGTCTTGCATTGAAGACTTGGAAGTAAACGCCCACTGCTGTGAGTGGATAACAGTTTTGCATATTATAATGAGTTTCAACTCACTCGCTTATGCAGCGACTGTCTTCTTCCACAACCAGGCACTGCACAATATTTTGTATTGCTTGGTAGCTTGATCCGGTTTGTCATCACGAGGTAGGCCTATGTTCTTTAGCTATGCGTGTAATGCGCGAATCGGTGGGCGGGGCTAAACCTGCCATGTTGAAGTAGGCGTTGATCTTCTTCTGCGGGGGTGGTGTTTTATCCTCTGACATCATAGTTCCCTACTTTCGTTTGCTGAGGCTGGTGTCAATAAAAGCTTTTATTGGACTAACAAGAACGTTTTCAGTTCTGAAACTTACAGGATATTCTTATAATATGATGACCTCTTAGATGTCAAAAGCTCGAGGAAAATTTAATTTCTCAGTTCATCAGCCCTTTAATATTTTTACTAGATGAATAGAAATTTCAAAAGGACAGCATTTATTTGAAATAGTTAAGACATTTATAATGTTCTAAAAGATTTGATCACTTTGATCAATTTAAATTTCAAAAAGACAGCATTTATTTGAAATATAAATCTTTTATAACATTTTAAATGTCTTAACTGTCACATTTGATCATTTTAATGCATCGTAACTGAATAAAAGTATTTATGTCTTTCATCAAGGAACGAAAACCAAAACTTGAACATTAGTGTACATAACTAAGTTGACAGTGGTTTACTAAATCCTTCTGGTATAATGTTTAATTTTTCTTTTAATCTGTAATTATACCGTAGTTGCTATAACGAAAAACAGAGTGAATCACCATGGTAATAATAAACATTTTCACTCAGGCATTTCAGAATGTGAAAAATGTTTTCTATGCCTGTGTTTATAACTTCATTCTTTCTATTAGAAACTCTGGAGAAACTCACAAAAAGGGAAAAAGAAGTCTCCACTCTAACAACCCAAGTAGACGCCCTAAAGACCCAAATAACTGGTAATGACATTTGACATTCTCATTATATTTTTTTTATAACATAAATATTTAAGATAACATAGGATGAACTATAAAATCAACTGCTTCTTTTGTGTAGCTTTGGAGGAAAAGGTTCGTTTGGGAGAGAATGCGGCTGAAGGATTCTTTAGGGAGAAGACTCGTTTGGAGGCGGAGCTGGAGTCCATGACCAAGAAATCCCATGATGCATCAGGCCAGCTGGTGATTATTAGCCAGGAGCTTCTGAAGAAAGAGAGGTAAAGAGCATTACATGGACTTAATGACAGGTGTGAGTTTTTTTTTAAAACACATGATAATGACAACATGAACCATCTGGAAAATTATCATCTCAGTTAATATTATTTGATAGTCTTCAAACTTGAAACTAGTATGTACTTGAAATTAGTAGTCCACCTTCTGTTTTATCCCTGTCATGAGCAACCATCATCTGGATTGTATTGCTTTCCAATACACCAGGATAAATGGTTACCCATGGACCATCGCTGATTGTAATCCACTCAAGAGCAATTTAAGTTAAAGACAATTACGTTGATTAAAACTGTGACCTAAACATCATTAAGCCTTTTCAGTCAATGGGACATGCTGACAGTGAATATCCTGTTTGCTGTATCATCCTCAGTTCAAACCGTGCGGTTCTGCTCTTTCTCTTTTCTACTATTTATAGTACGAATTATACATCTAACTACTTTGTGTCAATAAAACAATCCCAACAAAACAATTGTAAACAATCTCATGTAACATTACCTCAAGTACCATTTGATGTTCGTAGCTAGATTTTTTTTTTTGTTGCTAAATATTCAAATACCATATTCATTGTTTTACTTCACCTGTTGTCTTCATTATAACGTATGTTTCAATAAATCCACCGTTTAATTTTTTAATTCACATTATAACATTTATTTGTATAGAGGTTTTCACAATACACATTGATTCAAAGCAGCTTTACAGATAATACGCGTCTACATTAGAGCCCGACCGATAAAGGATTCTGAAGGCCGATACCGATACAAATATTTGTTGCTTTTAAAATCCGATATTCCGATATATCGGCCGATATTTTTTTCAGGAACGCATAACAAAACATTAACAGATTTCCCTAACATTAGTTATTTGTAGTTATGTATGAGTTTTAATTAAAATAATATGATAATGCATTTTAAAAAGAAATTCATTTCTTTAATCGTCACAACAGAACAGTGGAGCCACCAAAGCTCATTAATTAATTAACAAAACTCATTAAATTCCACTGATGATAGTGGCATTAGCTAGCTTTGTGGTTAGCTAGAATGTGTTGCGCGTTATAAACGAGTGTAAACAGGCCAGAGATGGTGTATAGTGCCCTTTGGTGGACAAACTTATACAACTCAACACTCCAACATGACATGGTTGAAGCGTGTTTCATCCATTTTTATTTTATTTTTGAAATATTAATTTATCGGCCATTATAACTGCCGATACCGATAATTTGTAAAATGCCTAATATCGGCCGATAATATCGGCCTGCCAGATATATCGGTCTGGCTCTAGTCTACATTACAATTTAGAGTTATCTGTTATCAGAGGTGACTGTCCAAATTATGTATTTCATATATGTACATATGTATTTGTACATATATAACTACATATGTAGTTATGTATTTTCTTTTATGTACATATACAAATCACACAGTTAGTTAATAATGTATTCATTCAAGGCAGAAACAATGAGCTCATCGAGGTAAAGAATACGTTGTTAACAAATGATTAGGATATATAGACATTTTTTTGCATTGGTGCATTGGTTTAATGTCAATAACAATTTTTTTTTTTAATTAATATTTAGTTTTATGCAATATGTTGTCTTTTCCTGTGTGTGTGAATGGGAATGCGTATCAGGAGCCTAAATGAGCTTCGGGTGTTATTGCTGGAATCTCCGCGCCACTCTGCAGGAGTGGACCGGGACATTAGCCGTGAAGTTCACAGAGCGGAGTGGAGGATGAAGGAGCAGAAACTACAGGATGACATTAAAACGCTGCGGGAGAAACTTTTGCTGCTGGTGAGAGACATGGGCAGAAACCTGAGACTGCAGCTGTTGGCAAACATCTAATGCCATTGACACTTTTAGAGAGCTTTCACACTGGACATGTTTGCTGCAGTCCAAACAGCGTTGGTCTGGTTATACACTTAGGAGTAGTTCAGTTTAAAAAAAAAAACTTTTGCTGATAATTTACTCACCCCCATGTCATCCAAGATGTCCATGTCTTTCTTTCTTTGGTCAAAAAGAAATTAATGTTTTTGATGAAAACATTCCAGGATTTTTTCCATATAATGGATTTCATTGGGTGCCAAACGGTTCAAGGTCCAAAAGAGAGTTTCAATGCAGCTTCAAAGATACGGTGGCCCAGTAGTACTGCACAATACAATGACACTTAAAAAGCAAACACAAGTTCACAACAAAACAGAATTAAGCCACAGCACAACTAAATGAATCCACAACACAACGGAATTGAGCCACAACACAGCAGAAAATGTACAACACAACTAAATAAAGCCGCAACACAACGGAAATGCTACCAACCACTAGAGGGCTCTCGGAGCACGGTAAAGTTAGTTTTCCTTGCCTATAGTCACCAGCAGTCTAAAAAATATATCAACACCACGATTAGTTTTTAACAGGATGTATTGTACATAAACATTTATTCATTTTAAATCACCTACGTGCATATAACTTTGACGCGCTTCCACATCACATGATCCCTAAAGGGAACGTCTGCCATATCCTCCAAGTTTTAAAAACGTATCATTTGTTTGCATTAAAATCACTTTTAACATTCAAAAACAGACATGTTCAAAATCCAAAGCTTGATTGGACTGGTAGTAGTCTGACTTACTACCGCTGATTTTTTTTTCCCAATACCTCCCTTTATTTATTCATAACAATTCTTTTTTTAGGAACTTTCTGTAATATAATAAACTTTTTTTTTGTCTTTTATCATGTTTCAATGGTTGTTGTTCCTATTAACCAGACTGACTTACATCAGGTAAAATTGTGCCAATAGCTCCCTGCATGCGCAATATACAATTTGTTTTTTTATTAAAACATTAGAACTACTGCAATTCACCTAAAGGTTTTTTTATGTCCCAAAACTGGTAGGTTCCCAGTAACCAGCCTGACTTATTACAGGTGAAATTGTGCCAATACCTTCCTGTAATGTTTTAAATTATATTATAATAAATTGTACGTTTTAACCACTTGATGGAATTGCCAGACATTCCCTTAGGGATCATGCGCTGTGGTAGGGCGTCAAATCATTCTCGACTCTCGAGTATAAATACGCAGCTATAATTCATCTAGGTGATTTTGAAGTATATTTTATGTCGATATACAATGGTTACATTCTTTTAAACTAATCGTGGTATTGGTATATTAAGGCTAGTACCGACTATAGAACTAATAGCAAGGAAAACTAACTTTACTGCGCTCCGAGAGCCCTCTAGTGGTCAGAAGCATTTCCGTTGTGCTGTGGCTTTATTTCGTTGTGTTGTAGATTTTCCGTTGTGTTGTTGTGGCTCATTTCCGTTGTGTTGTGAATTTGTGATTCCTTTTTAAATTTAGTTGTGTTGTGCACTACTGGGCCACCGTACAAAGGGCTTTAGACGACACCAGATGATGAATAAGGGTCTTATCTAGCGAAACGATCGGTCATTAAAAATAAATACAAAAAGTTTCAGTTTTAGAAGCACAAATGCTCGCCTTGCGCTGTTCTGTGTGACTCTCCTGTTCTAACTTGTTCATCAAAATGAACAAATCTTTTTTCGAGTCATTTCTCATTTCGTTCATTTCATTTGTTGAATGAACCAAATGACTCGAAAAAAGATTCGTTCATTTTGATGTACGAGTTCGAACAGGAGAGTCACGAATGCGCATCACAGAACAGAGCAAAGCGAGCATTTGTGCTTATAAAACTGAAACTTTTTTATATTTTTTTTAAATGAACGATCATTTCGCTAGATAAGACCCTTATTCATCGTCTGGTGTCGTTTAAAGCCCTTTGAAGCTGCACTGAAACTGTCTTTTGGACCTTGAACCGTTTGGTACCCAATGAAGTCCATTATATGGAGAAAAATCCTGGAATGTTTTCATCAAAAACCTTAATTTCTTTTCGTCTGAAGAAAGAAAGACGTGGACATCTTGGACGACATGGGGGTGAATAAATTATCAGCAAAAGTTTTTTTTTTTAAAGTGAACTAAAGTGAACTCCTTTAACTTGATTCTATCGAACCCTGGTGCACTTACGTTCATCTTACATTACAAATGTGCACTCCGCATGATAGAAAACAGAACACGGTCAATATACTGTGTTTTTTCTTAATCTCGAGCTATTATGCGCAGCAGAGTAAACGACACTTGGGTTTACTGTATGCGTGTCACATGAAGGAATCTTTAGAGGAGATTTTTCTGCCTTTATTGCACTCGCTATGTGCAATTACACTGCAGGCTCACTCTCGCTCGTATCCAAGGTAAATCATCAATACTACCATCCCTTACGTGTGTTTTATTGAACTAAATATATCGCCATTGGCTAAAAGGTATGCGCAGGTTACTTTTCTTCCTGAACAAGTGCACACCCGAGTCCGTGTTGCTTTCACATTCACTTGAATGTCGAGTGCAACCAAACTCAGAACTCATTCTTCAGGAAGTCTCAGGTTTGGTACCCCGGTGCGCACGACAGCTTTTACGTTAGCAATTTGTCATGCGAACCGTGTCCCGTTTCGATCTAAACTGCCAGTGTGAAAGCACCCTTAAATTCAAATGTATGATTTTTTTAAAATGTAAGTTTTAACCCATTTTCTATTTTAATTAATATATTTTATAATGCAATTTATTATTGTGACGGCAATCACTCCAGTCTTCAGTATCACACAATCTTTTAGAAATCCTTCTAATATGCTGATTTGCCGCTCGAGAAACATGTGTAATTGAGCTGCGTAATATTTTTGTGGAAACATGAACATTTTCAGGATTATTTGATTATTTGAACTGAAGGTATCATTTATTTTAAATAGATTTTTTGTAACAATGTAAGCATCTTTACTGTCACTAGTTTTCAGCTCACTTTTTTTCCCATTTACACTTGATATGTGCACTGATATATTAATCATCCCTTTTAATTTGTACAATTTCCTTATTTCAGAGTCGGGAAAGGTCGTCTCCAGACCATCGCCGATACTCTATGATGGACCCGTCTGCTTCAGACACAGAGGTGTCTCGTCTGCGTCAAAGGCTGCTGAGCACAGAAGATGCCCTGAGGAACGCTTTGGAACACAACCAACACGTGGACCAGCTCGTGCAGGCCATGCGTACCCGCCCAGACAAGAACCAGGTAAACGCCTCCACCTGCTACTGGTGTTTCTTCAACTACAAGCAGGTTTTGTCCCCATTTATAATTCGTACACTAACAAAGTCCAACAGTATAATAGCTATTGAAATGGTTTCACTCTTTCTTCATCTTCACAGGCACATGCTAGTGCAAATTCTGCAAATGGAATTCATCAAGAAGACACTTCCTTCACACAAGAGGTTAATTAGATTTACACTTGTAAATGCATTTAGCTTACATTTTTTTTTATCCAGAGTGAGAGGAACAAAAGCAGTTTGATGTGGAGCCAACATACAATGCCAGGTGTATTTGTGTTTTTCTAAATGTTGGAAGGTTTCAGTCAGTCAAAGCCAGAACACTGAGTTGTGACTGACTGCAAAGGCAAACAAGAAAGTAGAAAGGGAGAAAAGAAAAGGATACTTCGTTCAGCCTGCCGTGTCTTGTTGGTGTCTTTTCTCGGTGGACTCGTGCAGGTAGAATCACAGATCTTTCCCTGAGTTGGTCTTCATCCAGAGAAGGGCTTCGCACAAGGGCTGACGCTGCAGTAATGTTGGCGTATTCAGCACAACCTCACTGATTGCTTCACAGCGGCGGAGTCTACTTGCGTCATAAACAGCTCAAAGCATAGAAAGTGTAAACTAAGCTTACGTTTACACTACAACGATATACTGTTTTCCTTTGGGTTCCTTTTCCAGACGACACCATCGCCAAAACGATCCTCATTCACACGGATCCGCTAAAAAGACGTTGTATTGTGCTGCCAGGCCATTAGATGGCACTAAAACACTGTTGTCGTGAAAATGAACGCCCAAAACACATTAAAAGTTTTACGTTTTTAGTTGAAAACAGTGTCGTGTATACTTAGAGGCTACTAGTTTTAGTCGCTTTCGCAGATCTGTGTGAATTGTTTTGACTGTGTTGTCAGTGGGCAAAAAAACATCTCCGTTTTAAGCATATTGTTGTCGTGTAAACATTCCCTGAGGCCCTGTCCCAAATGGTGCACTTCATACGGACTTTAGGTCTCATGGACTTAAAGGAGTAGTTCACTTTTAAAAAAACCCCATGTCATCCAAGATGTCTTTCTTTCTTCAGTCGAAAAGAAATGAAGGTTTTTGATGAAAACAATCCAGGATTTTTCTCCATATAATGGACTTTAATGGGCACCGAACGGTTCAAGGTCCAAAAGACAGTTTCAGTACAAACTGCAAACTGTTGAAAAGGCTTTAAATGATTCCAGACGATGAATAAGGGTCTTATCAAGCGAAACGATCGCTCATTTAAAAAAAAAAAAAACTAAAGTTTTAGTTTTGTTTGCTCAAATGCTTGCCTTGCTCTGTTCTGTGTGACTCTCCTGTTCGAACTTGTTCATCAAAATGAACAAATCTTTTTCCGAGTCAATTCATTCATTTAACGAAATGAATGAATTGACTCGGAAAAAGATTTGTTCATTTTGATGAACAAGTTCGAACAGGAGAGTCACAAACGTGCATCACAGAACAGAGCAAGGTGTGCATTTGAACTTATAAAACTTAAAATTTGTTTATTTTTTTAAATGAGCGATCGTTTCGCTTGATAAGACCCTTATTCATCGTCTGGAATCGTTTAAACCCCTTTGAACAGTTTGCACTGAAACTGTCTTTTGGACCTTGAACCGTTTGGCACCCAATTAAATCCATTATATGAAGAAAAATCCTGGAATGTTTTCATCAAAACCTTAATTTCTTTTCGACTGAAGAAAGAAACACATGGACATCTTGGATGACATGGGGGTGAGTAAATTATCAGCAAAGGTTTTTTTTAAAGTGAACTACTCCTTTAAATTGCGCATGCTCGCCGAGTGTACGAGTCCGTAGGCCGTCCCATTTAGTATTTTAACGCTCTGAATGTGCTCAGCAGCGCCCCCTTTGTAGTTCACTTTTTTAAAAAACTTTTACTGATAATTTTCTCACCCCCATATCATCCAAGATGTCCATGTCTTTCTTACTTCAGTCGAAGAGAAATTAAGGTTTTTGATGAAAACATTCCAGCATTTTTCTCCATATAATGGACTTCAATGGGAACCAAACGGTTCAAGGTCCAAAAGACAGATTCAGTGCAAACTACAAACTGTTCAAAGGGCTTTAAACGATTCCAGGCGATGAATAAGGGTCTTACCAAGTGAAACGATTGCTCATTTAAAAAAAAAATAACAACGTTTAAGTTTTATAAGCTCAAATGCTCGCCTTGCTCTGTTCTGTGATGCGCGTTTATGTGACTCTCCTGTTCGAACTCGTTCATCAAAATGAACAAATCTTTTTTCGTGTCATTTGGTTGATTCAACGAACGAAATGAACGAATTGACTCGGAAAAAGATTTGTTCATTTTGATAAACGAGTTCGAACAGGAAAGTCACGAACGCACATCACAGTACAGAGCAAGACGACCATTTGAGCTTATAAAACTTAAACATTGTTATTTATTTATTAAATGAGCGATCGTTACGCTTGATAAGACCCTTATTCATCGTCTGGAATCGTTTAAAGCCCTTTGAACAGTTTGCAGTTTGTACTGAAACTGTCTTTTGGACCTTAAACCGTTTGGTTCCCATTGAAGTCCATTATATGGAGAAAATCCTTGAATGTTTTCGTCAAAAACCTTAATTTCTTTTCGACTGAAGAAAGAATGACATGGACATCTTGGATGACATGGGGGTGAGTAAATTATCAGCTAATGTTTTTTTTAAAAGTGAACTACTCCTTTAAACTACCAACAATAGATTTCTTTTTACTCTGCTCAAATAATAATGGAGAATCCTAATATTTGTTTATCATGACTAAACTTTATTTCTCTTTCTAGGAAGAACACTGATGAGGGCTAAAACAGTTCATGGATGTTTAGGGAAGAATGGAGGTGTAATGGGAAAGAAGAAGCCTAGATCTTTGGACTAATGCTTCACTGGACATCTTACTTTCCATTTACAGTTAACACCAAAACAACAACTTTATAAATGAACAAACAGAAACCACAAATTGAAGAATATCTAGAATTATCCGAGATGCTATAAAAGACATAATGGAAGTGGTTTTAAGGTCGATGGTACAACACGGACAAACACACCGATCCTGTAGACTACCTCCGAGATGGACAATGATGTCTGACTTAAGAAACGAGTGAGTGTTGGTCAGGAAAACAAACAATACCCTGCTATACTCCCAGTTGGTTGTAACCAGTTGCCGTTTAGAAAACATTTTTGGCCTCAATTTTTACTGTTTAATTTATTTGCCATCTATGCTTTTCACCTTTTTTAAAGTGATAAACTCTCAGCGTAAGGTTTGAAGGACTTGGGCTGGTCACTAGATTCTGTAGCAAACAAGTAAATAAAACCGACAGGCTCCCTTGTTCCATACCTGCTCATTCTTGTGTTGATTTTCCTTCTTTTTATCAAGACATAAGGTTTAATGTATGAATTATACAGTATTCAGCAACGAATTAGGAAGTTAAGGTGCAAGCTTCAAGAACCAGTATTGCAGTTTCAGTCAATATTAGTGCATACCTGTGTAATATTATAAAATATACAACTCCCAACCTGTAGTTCAATTCAAATGATCAATGAACCAACAGCTTTCGTTTCTCGTTTTGAGTCATTTGCTTGGCTTGTCTTTGATTGGTGGTGAGTTGTAATTGGACTATCTTAAGGGGAGGTACTACATGCATAAGTGACTTATTGCCCATATAGCAAATACAATAATTCTGTTTTGCCACTCAACATACATTTAGCTTTTTGATTTCATTTGATCTTTATAAAAGAGCAAGAAGCATGTTTATTTACATGCACAGCACACAACTTTTTATTAAATGTTTGATGGAAAGAACCTTTTGACAAAAGTGCATTTTTAATATTTTTCTCATATGCAAGTGAGTTAGTTTTGATAAAAGGAAAGGATCACCTGTAGTGCCTCCCCTTAAAAGAACAAAAGACTGTTTGGCATTTTCTCTCTGATCAGATTTCTGTTTGTCTAAACAGATCTTTGCGTTATGAACTAAAAACAAATCTGATTTAACAGTACAAACACAAATCAGTGTCTGCTCAATGGTATTCCAGAATTGATTCTCTCCTTTGAAAAATCATGAAACAGAAACACTGTGCAATTAGGTCAAGTTTGTTCATAAAGCAACTTTATACTGATGTGATTGCCATTAGAAGTAAGAAAGCATTTGTTTTCAATAAGAATAGGGAAAATGATAGGGCTGGCCCCAAGTTTTGCAGTTGAAATTGCTTTAGATTGCAGCTGGATTCGATAAAAATGCCTTTTATCTGTTGGGAAACTTTTCATTCGCCACTTGCTGTAATGGTTTCCAAGAATCAGTAATTAAACATTAACAAAAGAAACACTTTGTTGTGTATTATTTGTAACAAATGGTTTCCTTTCATTTTCAAAGGGAGGGGTTTGTACATAAATCACCACTACACACCATATACATAATGTAAAAAAAAAAATCAAATGGTGATATTTGTAACTAAAAATGTCATACTTTTGAATTCAGCATTTATAAAAATGTTACTGTTGATCTTAAAAAGTCATTTTACTACAGTACCATGTCAGGATGCAGCAATAACCAGGTTAGTAGTCAACAAATATAGAATTTTCAATTGCTGATTTATTCTTAAAATGTTACAACCAATCCTAAATGTAAATCCTTAAAAGGTGTCTGTATTTACTATTTACTAGTGAAATGTTTCAGAAAATAAATTTGAAAATAATTTTCCAGTATCTTTTGGAAAGATTATTCAAATTAAAAATTGTGTTATTCTGTGTCAATTTTAATCCAGCTCACATGTGTAAAAAAAAAGGTGAAATTTATGACAAAATATACTGTCACTGGTTCATTTAATTTGTTTAAAGGAGTAGTTCACTTTATATATATATATATATATATATATATATATATATATATATATATATAAAACATTTGCTGATAGTTTACTCATCGGAAAGAAATTAAGGTTTTTGATGAAAACAATCCAGGATTTTTCTCCATATAATGGACTTCAATGGGAACCAAATGGTTCAGGGTCCAAATGAGAGTTTCAGTGCAGCTTTAAACGACAGTGCAGGGCTTTAAACGACACCAGGCGGTGAATAAGGGTCTTATCTAGCGAAACGATTGGTCATTTTAAAAATAAATTAAAACATTTAAGGTTTATAAGCTCAAATGGTCGCCTTGCTCTGTTCTGTGATGAGCGTTCGTGACTCTCCTGTTCAAACTCGTTCATCAAAATGAACAAATCTTTCTTTAGAGTCATGACTCGAAGGGTCCTAGATAAGACCCTTATTCATCGTCTGGTGTCGTTTAAATGGTGGCGTGGTGGGGTGTCATCCCATATTTCATCAAGAGACATGCTTAGTAAAAAGTTATCAAAGGAATCTTCATTCCTCAAATCGTTTGGAAGACGTGTGTAAACGTTCAAGTCTAATTGGCCTTTATGTTAAGGCAATATCCGAGGAAAAAAAAAAGAAAAGAAAAAAATTAGCTTACTTATGGGCAGTGTATTAGGTCCAAGAGAGTATACATGTCTGCAAGACAAGCAAGAATATGATTTTCAACATATATTCTACTTGACCAGCCACTACAGAATTATAGAGTTGATGGATAAACGCATTACACTGCTACGCCGTTAGAGGGAGCTATAACATTATAGACCATTTCACAAGATGTAAACAACACTGGTCCACAAGCACTTCCTGTTTCAGTTTTTTAACACTACATATAAGCTGGCATAAAATACAACCAACAGAACATTTAAAACTGAATCAAAAAGTTAAACAAACATAGTTAAGATGTTTTCTTTAAATGTGAAATAAAGAAAACAGTTACAAACTGAAACAGGAAGTGTTTCAGGACCGGTGTTGTTTACATCTTGTGAAATGGTCTATAAACTCTTTTCAAATCAGCCAACCTGTGTGAACTGAAGCTGTTCCTCTGCGCCTCATGGTCTTTGTTCTTGGACAGCAGTTTGTGGTCAAATTATGCATCATGGTGCCTTAATATCTTGTCACATGCAAAATTAATAGTATTAGTCCTACATTAATACTACATTGGAAATGTGTAGCCAATAGGCCTATATAAATGTTGTAAATGAATGAATTTATAATGCTATAAATGAAATGTAAAACTGTTTTTGTTTGTTGGATCCTATGAGCACGACTGGTTGAAATTTGGTCAGTATACTCTCATTTTTAAGGTTGCACTTTGTGAACATAACTGTGGCCACACCCAGAAACTACATTGATTTAATTATTAGAAAATAACTTTTTTAATTTAACTACTTCAAAGATCAAAATTAAATCTGAAACATTCTTTGTCGTGACCTGGGCATTCAGAGAATGTTTATACAGTTCCAGAATTATTGAAAAAATTTTTTTTTAATAATATTCTTAAAGCGCCACCTAGCGTTAAACCAATATGTGTGTTTGGAACCATCCCAGTTTTGGGTCTCTGATATTGTTTACATTTTACAATAAGGTTTAGTTAATGCATAATGAGCAATACATTGGAACAACATTTAATAACCTTTATTAATGTTTCTTGATGAAAATTATTCATAACACAAACAACTTTTGATCTTAAAAAATGTCGTAAATTTTTAGATCAATAAGGTTAATAAATGCTGAAAAAATATATAACATGGTTCCAGCACCTTTGGTACTTAGATACCTAATAGAATACCATTCATTTAATCATTTACTCTTTAATTATAGCATGCATAATTAAATTGCATGTTATAAAATTGACCAAAATAAAGTCCAAATCTCAAAAATCTCTCAAAATCAGCTCTTTGTAATATTTAAGATTCATTGCACAGGGCATCTGAGGGCATCATGGATAAAAAAGGTTTTATTTGCTAACATTAGTTAATGTATTAACTAACAATAAGTAATAAAATGGAACAACATTTAGTAACCTTTATTAATGTTTCTTGATAAAAAATCACCTTTTTTCTTAAAAAAATATTAAAAAAAAACTAATAGTAAATAGCTAATAATAATTCTACTAAAATATTAATTTTATTAGAACTTTAGCTGAGGGTTATGATTTTTTTCTTCCATAGCCTACATGCTATAATTATAGAATAAATGATTAGATGAATGGCATTGCAACTTTATTGTGTTATTTGTATTCGTTTTATTCATATATGTATATCTGTGTGTGTGTTTGTATCAAAAAAAAAAAACGATAAAATTACAATGCCATTCATTGAATCATTTACTCTTTAATGATAGCATACAATTACATGCTAAAAAAAAGTCCACATCTCTAAAATCTCTCAAAATCAGCTCTTCGTAATATTAAAGATTCATTGCACAGGGCATCTGAGGGCATCATGGATATGTCCACCTTATCTTCATCGTATGATAAGAACCGTATTTACAGTTTCATGGAGTCTGTTTTATTCCAAAACTCATCTGTAAATCAGGGTACAGGTTGTCAGTCAAACCGTTTGCGTTTATTCGCAACGGTCTAGTTAATCTTAAAATAAAGCAACAATAACACAAGGGGGGCTGTGGCGAGGGGCATAGAGAAAAATAGACACGTTACAGTCACAATGTCAAAAGAGTTAGTTGCTCACATTAGTCCTGTGAGTGTCGGCGAGTGTTGCTGGTCCAGCGGTTCTTTAATCCTGTATGTAAATGACAGCCAATAGATGCTGTTGTTGAGTTGGGCTGGGATTAGCGGAGGCGAATGACTTTCAATTTTACTGGATTACAGAACAAAGAAAGGGGAAAGGGGACACACTCCTCTGTTAAAGAAAACAGAAAGAAAACGGGGCATATTGATCAAATAAAGCACGTCGATTGCATTTCAACAGACTACAAACCATTCGAGATTATGACATTTAATAAAGTCGCTATCGCCGTTCTTTAGATGGGAATTCAGCTCTCACTGTTGGATTAAACGGAGAATAAACCTATCCGGGATTGACAGCAAAAGGTAATTAAACTTGATACGGATTAAAGATAATTCTGTATACGTATACGTGAAAAAACATTTACGAGGATCGTTCTTGAGCACGTGACTTTTTATGGATGTTGAAAAAGTGAAATTACAGATTATAATTTAGGGGGAGGAGGATGGCTAGGAGTGTTAGCATACTTGCTACCATGCTAACGCGAATGTATGGCACTCAACGCAATGTTTTATACGCTTTTCTGAAAGTAATACTCGTTATAATACGCGGTAACTGTTAGATAAGCGTTCCGCGTTTTTGTGTTTTCTTTTGCGTTCCGCTTTTTTGTCTAACAATAGCTGTAATTCTCTTGTTTTGTTTGTATTGTAAAAATGGCAACACAGTTTGAGTGCTAGCGAGTTGCATTGTTGGCAGGGTGATACAATACAGTTAGTTAGTCGTGTTTATTTCGTACAGTTTGATGAAAATCGTCGTTGGCGTGGTCACGGACACGTTTTTCGACCCGAGAAGGTCATGTTTACAATGTCAAATCCACATATCAGTTGCTGCTAATCTATGTCTAATATGAAGGCTGCTTTAGTGGATTATGCAAAACTGGATGTATCCCAGTAACGTTAAGTTTGCGGCTGAGCAATAATATCACATGTCTCTAAACTTGCTCAGTTTTCCTCGAAGGACTTCTCGACTGTCAGATCCATTCATGAGAGTTTATGATTTATGTCATGCTGTTGTCCCACTATGAGTCTCTAACTGAAACATGAACTATCCCAGAATGACTTTATGTCGGATTGGGCCTCATTGTCAAGCACTGAATAACAGTAGCTGTCTCTGTGGGTTTTCTTCACCCAGATGTTATATATCTGACACAATACCTCGATTGTTTAGTGAACACAACTAAATTATCAAATATTGAGTGTTATATATTGCCATGAAGTGCATTAAGGGAAATTATGAAGTAGGCTGAGATTAAACTGTATGGAAAAAAAACACTGGGATAATTATCCATTTTTCCATGAATTAAAGGAATATTTCACCCAAAAATCTAATTCTGTCATTAAATACGCACCCTCATGACGTTCAAACCCTTAAGACTTTTGTTCATCTTCGGAGAACAAATAAAGATCTTTTTAATGAAATCTGAGAGTTTTTTGACCCTCCATTGAAAGCTACACAACTACCACTTTTAGCTTCAAATTGTTCATAAAGATATCATAAAACTGATCCATATGAACTGAGTGGTTTAGTCCAAATTTTCTGTTGAGACTCCATTGCTTTATGATGAACAGATTCAATTTAGGCAGTTATTTAATATTCACTCATTGAAGCTCAACCAAACCTGCTTGATGCATGAGAGCAAACCTCATTGGTTCTTGTGGTAAATTTATTTCGAATTCCTAACTATAGCTAAGCTAAGCTTATTT